CCAACTTTTCAATACCATTTTTGTAGTACGATTTGTGTTTAGCCTCAAAATAGGCCTCTGTTTCGGCGATTACTTCCTCATCGGCTTTAAATTTCTTTCCAGCGAGCATTCTCTTGAGATCTGAGAACAGGAAAAAGTCGCTGGAGACGGTGGATGCGGAAGCAATTCGAAGCCCAATTCACGCAATTTTGCCATCGTTTTCATCGATTTGTGACACGGCGCATTGTCTTGATGAAACAACAGTTTCTTCTTCTTCAAATGGGGCCGTTTTTTTGCGATTTCGTCCTTCAAACGCTCCAATAACGATATATAATAGTCGCTGTTGATGGTTTTTCCCTTTCCAAGATAGTCGATGAAAATTATTCCATGTGCATCCCAAAATACGGACGCCATAACCTTACCGGCCGATTGTTGAGTTTTTCCACGCTTTGGATTCGGTTCATCGCGTGCAGTCCATTCAGATGACTGCCGACTGGACTCCGGAGTGTAGTGGTGAATCCATGTTTCACCGATTGTCACATATCGACGCAAAAATTCACTTCTATTGCGGTTGAACAGCTCCATACATTGCTCTGAAGCATCGACACGTTCTTGTTTTTGGTCGATTGTGAGCTCGCGCGGCACCCACTTTGCACATAGCTTTTGCATACCCAAATATTCATGAACGATATGTCCAACACGTTCCTTTGATATCTTTAGAGTGCCAGCTATACAAATCAACCTCAATTTACGATCTTCCAAAATCATTTTGTGGATTTTTTTTATGTTTTCGTCCGTAACAGCCTCTTTTGGACGTCCACTGCTTTCATCGTCTTCGGTGCTCATATGGCCTGTACGGAATTTGGCAAACCACTTACGAATGGTTGCTTCGCCCGGCGCAGAGTCCGGATAACACTCATCAAGCCACTTTTTGGTATCAGCAGCACTTTTTTTCATCAAAAAATAGTGTTTCATTAAAACTCGAAATTCCTTTTTATCCATTTTTTTCAAAATAACAAAAGTTGCTTCACTCAAAATGCTGTATCTCACAAACTAATAATCAGACAGCTGTCAAATTTATACACGTTTCTTTTGAAGGTTGGTACTACCTAAAAATGATATGGATTTTATTCTAGTGGCGCCATCTCATAGAGACGATACGAACTTTTCAGCCCAACCAATACCTGACGAGAAGTTATGTCGTAATTTCCCGAACGCTGCCCAGCCGAGTTGAATCCGTCGATTGACCTCTCGGTCGAAGTTGGACTTACCTAGTCGGACTATTTGTCCCAGGTAAACGTACTCGTCAACAACTTCGAGCATAGTGATCCCAACAACTACCGGCATAGGTGTGACATGGGCATTAAACATGATCTTTGTTTTGTCCATGTTCATCTTAAGACCTATCTGTTGGGAGGCACTATTGAGGTTATTGAGCATAGTGCTTAAGTCCTCCAGCGATTCTGCCATAAGGACTATATCGTCGGCAAATCGAAGTTGAGTGATGTACTCGCCATTGATGTTAATACCGTATCCTTTCCAGTCCAGTAGCTTGAAAACTCAGTCTTCCAATGCAGTGGTGAAGAGTTTCGGGGATATAACGTCACCCTGTCTTACACCTCACTGCAGTTGGATAGGTTTCGAGCTCTGGTTCCGTACTCGGATAGCCATCATAGTCCTACTGTACAAACACTTCAGCACTTCGATATACCGACAGTCAATTTGGCACCGCTGAAGGGACTGTAGCACCGCCCAAATTTCGACGGAATCAAAGGCTTTCTCATAGTCCACATACGCCAGGCAAAGTGGCAGAATGTACTCTTCAGTCTTCTGTACAATCTGCCGCAGGGTATGTATGTGGTCTATGGTACTGAAGCCTTTTCGGAAACCGGCTTGTTCGGGAGGCTGGAAGTCGTCGAGACCGCGTGCGAGACGATTCGTAATGACTCTCGAAAACAGCACGTAGACGCGGCTCAGAAGGGAAATCGGTCTGTAGTTCTTTAAGAGAGCGTTGTCGCCTTTCTTAAAGAACAAGACCACCGCACTTCTGCTCCACGCCTCTGGAGTAGTGCCACCATGGAGGACGGAATTGAAGAGCTTCTGAAGGACTTCAAGTACCGGTGTTCCACCCGCTATAGAGTAGCACGATTTAATTTTGCTGACAAAGTTCTATTCACAGATGAGTCCAGATTTTGCCTGAAGCCAGATGATGGAAGAATCAAAGTGTGCAAGATCATTGGGAAAGAGACATATTATGGTTAGTGTATTTTGGTTCCTCTAAATCTGTCCATGAGTATATTTTAAAATAAAAACAAAAAAATTCCACACCTGATAAACTAAAGAGTGATGGAGGTCGGAGGGATTATCCTTTTAATGCTCCTCGCATTACGAGGATAATCGGGGGCGTTTAAAGTTAAGCCAAGCAAACATATTCCTTTGTTTTCTCCCTAGGTAATGATAACACTACAGTAAATATTTTTACGATACAGTTAATATATACTACTGGCATGTTCCTGTGTTTTATTTTATTTTTGTTTTCGTAACTTATTATTTTAAAAACTAGGATCCTTCTAAAATCGGTGAGTCTAATTTGTTCATTATACATTTTGCATGTTTTCATTTTATAACTGCTCACTGCTCATAAGTGACATGAGAAAAAAAAACGACAAGTGAAGCGAGGAGTTTCAAATTACTGGCGAGAGTGCCGTGGAAGTATTTCAAGGCATTTTATAAGCCGGTATTCACAGAAAAACTCATGTATTAAATTCCACAATGTCAACATTTGTGGAGTGAGCTACACCCAAATTTTGACATTGTGGAGTTTGAGATCAGATCAAAATCGAGATCTTCTTTGAATACCGCCCATAGTGTGCTATAATTAAGTTAAGTAGTAATAAGTAAGGTTAAATAAAAGACACGAAATACGAGTAAATAAAAGTAAGTTTTAATATTATTAATCCCTTAAAATAATTAATAGAATCAGGCATTAATTTTGCGCTGATCAATTATATTAAAGTTGTACAAGATTAATTTGCTTATAAACGGAACTAATTACGCGGATAAAAGCAAATCTTTTATAACTTTAATCCCTTAAAATATTCCATCAGAACATCAGCATATGCGATAAATTATATTATATTTTTATTTATTTATTTTTTATTTATTATTATGTTATAATTGCATTTACGTTTTGTAAAATCAACAAATATATATTTTCAGAAGTGGAAGAATACCACTTTTAATAATATATGTTTTTAATTTCGTTATAATATTTTATTGTTTTAACGGAGTAAAAGTATCCATATCAAGGCGTTAATATTTGCTTTAATAATACGTGGTAGAGCCACGCTGCAGCTATATTATGGTTGTAGCACGAATGGGTCAGTTCGAACGGGGAAAGACTACGATTTCACATAATAGCAGCTTAATACTGCTGTGTTTCGTATGGTGGGTGTAGAAATCCGGAGACCCCTTTTTACTGGATCTTTCTATCTTAGTCCTCAAGGGTGATAAAGCATCTGCGTTTTGATTCTTAATCGAGGATAGATGTAGATGTCTATGGGCCACAGCATCCACTTACCATCGGGTAGACTATGTGCTCGTTTGTCTCCCTTATTCTATATAAAAAAGAATCCTTAAACAATACATATAATATAAATTGCACATATATATTACTTTTTTTACAGGATAGAGTGACAAACGAGCACACAGTCCACCTGATGGTAAGTGGTCTACTTCCGGTTCTCTACACTCACCATACGAAATACAGCAGCATTAAGCTACTATTTCACGCTGGTATTCTGTGAGAGCGTGGTCCTTCCCCGGTCGAGCCGACCCATTTGTGCTACAACTATACTACTAATATAACTGCAGCATGGCTCTACCACGTAAAATCTATCTACTTAGCCTTGTTAATCTACTTGCAGTCATGTAATAATATAATTTGAATCTGAATTTGTAGAACTACAAAAACTGTGTATTCTGCCGCCGTTAATCAAACCTCCAGGAAACAAATTTATAGCATATATTTATAACATACAAAATAAAAGAAAAGTATACATAACTATAAAACATTAATATAACAATCCTTTTTATATTGTTCTTGAAAAAAGTCAGTTTAGTTTTAGAGGAGGTAACAGGATAATTTCGTCAACTTTTCATCATCATCATCATCATCATTACAGCCCTTCACAAGTCCACTGCTGAACGTAGGCCTCCCCCAAGCAATGCCACAAAGCACGGTCCTGAGCCACCTGCATCCATCGACTTCCTGCATGTCTTACCAGGTCGTCACTCCATCTAGTGGGGGGGTCGCTTTACACTACGCCTACCGGTACGAGGCTGCCACTCGAGAACCTTTCTTCCCCATCGATTATCGGTTCTTCGAGCTATATGGCCGGCCCATTGCCATTTCAGCTTTTCATAAATACATATAATCAGTCTGAGCTGCGGTTGTCTCTTTCGGTTACCTAGCTCGGTCGTTCGGGCACAGCTCAACAACAAATTATTGTTAAAAACCTATTTTTTAAATTTCTTGAAGTTCTTATGCGAATCTATCACATTATATAACTGATAGACCAGTCTTGATGAATAAGATAAATATTTTATTGCGGTAGAGCATTAATGAGTAATGGGCTAGTAAAAGAATTACCTAAACTTTTATTTCGTTATTGTTACCATAATAAATGTACTTTCATATAACAAAGTTTTTATGTTTACATTTTCTTCACTACTTTCTTATGATGACAGATAACATTTATTATTACTGGCAAATGTCATATAAACTTTCAAGATAAAACTATGTTATTGTAAATAAAAGTTATTTCGTGATTAATATGCGACTTAAAATAGTTACGTATTATTGTAATATGTATGTAATAGCAATATTTTTCAGTAAATTCAATTTGCATTAAAATGCTACAGAAAATATAGACTACAGGGAGAGAGACGTATAAGCCAGAATTAAGGGAGAGAAAAGGTAAATGGAGGGAGAAAGAAAGAGAGAAGAGTAGAGCACATACCAGACAGTGACTGCGTGTGCTGCGGACGTTTCACAAGCAACCGACGGCGACGCTTCGCTCTTCGCGGCGGTCGCGTTGCCGATGGCCAAGCGCGTCTTCGAGCCTTCTGAGGGCGCCACTCGCGGCTTAGTTGCTCATAGTTATCCTGAGTGCAATACGTTCGTGCTTAATAAAAGATCCACATGCTTTTTGTCTTTTTACTAAATATATTTTATTTAATATTGATTTTTTTGAAGTGTAATGAGTAAAAACGTTAAACTCGCGTCAGGACACGTGACCTGATCGAAAATTCGTAAGACGGATGGAGAGTAGACAGCCGGCGCGGCGTAGGAGAAGAAGTATCCCCCTCTCTTTCTACGGCGCGGCGAAAATGTATTCCTGCGCCAGCTGTTACGTTTAGGCGGCGCAGGGCGCTTGCGCGAATGTTCGTGTGTGATAATTAAAGCAATTCGTGCAAAATTATTCCCTAAACATTCCAAAATATAAAAAATGCACAACGTTAATATTCAAGTTTTCACTTCTGGCGGCACTCCCGGAGTGCAACCCGTCGTTTTTTATTGATAAGGGTGCCAAACGAGCACACAGTCCATCTGATGGCAAGCGGATGCTGTAGCCCATAGACTTCTACATTTATGATCCAATAAGAATCAAAATGCAGATGCGTTGTCACCCCTGAGGACTAAGATGGAATGCCTCATTTCCGGCAAAAAGAGTCTCCAGTTCTCTACACTCAACGTGTAAAACACAGCAGCATTAAGCTGCTATGTTACGCTGGCATTCTGTGAGAGTGTGATCCTGTCCCCGGTCGAGCCGACCCATTCATGCTACAACTATAACATAGCTGCAGTGTCTCTACCACGTATAATTGATTGCTGAAATTTATAAAAAAGAAAGTATGTTGTTCATTAGCTATTTTCCCTTAGGTTAAAGAAACCTCAATTCATCAATACATTTCTAGGTATTTGAATTTAAATTTAATTTTTTAATTTAAAATTTAAATTTCTCACATCCAGTGTTGCCTATAAGTTTATTATCTTTACTTTTATCCAATAATTGTCATACATTTTTATACATGGTAGAGCCACGCTGCAGCTATATTATAGTTGTAGCACGAATGGATCGGCTCGACTGGGGAAGAACCACGCTCTCACAGAATACCAGCGTCAAACAGCAGCTTAATACTGCTGTGTTTCGTATGGTGAGTGTAGAGATCCGGAGACCCTTTTTACTCATTACGAGGCATTCCATCTTAGTCCTCAGGGGTGACAACGCATCTGCATTTTGATTCTTAATGGATCATAAATGTTGATATCTATGGGCCACAGCCTCCACTTACCATCAGGTGGACTGTGTGCTCGTTTGTTACCCTTATTCTATAAAAAAATACAATAAATGTATTTTGTTAACCCGCTTTCAGGCTCGATCGGTCATGAAACTGCAGCGGAAACAGCGACTGCTTTCAGCACTTTCGGCCAGCACACCCATATAATACTATAATATATACATAATAGAACGGGGGATAGGGCGGGGCCCGTGTAGCCACTAAAATGTCACTAACACGTCAATTCACACGTATAAATGTCAACACGAGATGTGTTTTGACGTAACAATCGTTTCCAAATTTCGGATGCAATTTATTTAGAAAATACCAAATTGCTCGCTATTTACAGATAAATATGTATTGAAATTTAAACGACTTTTTTTAATGATGATTTTGAACATTAATCAAAAGTCTAAAATGTGTAAATTTAGTCAGTTTATCAAAACACCGAATCAGGTTTGTAATACTGATAATACGACGTAATTGCTTGCATGTGTGCTCCCGGCGACGCGGGAGCTCGTACAAAATAAGTTTGTCAGCCATTCTATTGTGTATTATAGTATTCTATGATCACACCCAACTCTCATACATAACCCACAAACATTTAGGTACGCTCCGCACACATGGTGTTTGCTTCTGCAGCGCAAGTAGCGGTTGCTTTTCAGCACTTCCCTGCAAACCTAGGTCTTAAACAGAATTTACGCGTTCTCAGGTGTGTTCAGCTCACAGCGACGCACGATGGCGGCACCTGCAGCATAAGTAACGGTTGCATGCAGCGCACGTCGCCTGCGAATCTAGCTCTGGTACATAACTTACCCGCTTCCAGGCGTGTTCGGCACACAGCGGCGTCTGCTCCTGCAGCGGAAGTAGCGGTTGCTTGCAGCGCTCGCCACCTGCGAAGACGGCTGCACAGGCCGCATAAAGCCGCTGTTCGGGCGCGTGAGTTACGTGTTTCAGACAGTGTCGGCTGCACGGTAGAGGCGGTTGCGTGCAATTTGCCTCAACGCATACGCTACTAGTGACGTCAGACTGTCTACCACTTTCACCACCCGACCAGCCGGTTTCGCTAAAAATTACAAACAAATATGAACAACAAAAGAGCAGTAAATTTGTATTATTATTTCGTATAATACAAAGAATATCAGCGTTATAAGTAGCAACATAAATATGTTGTGTACCATAAGGTGAAGATTCCACCTTAATCCTTAGGTGACGATTCCTCTGCATTTTGTAGTAAATGTAATTATGCAATTAAGTGTGTAATTAACGCACACCCTCAGACACCCCAACTAGTATATTATGTTATAATCATAATACATACACTGAATTTTTAGTTAAACATTTTTATGCACTGATTATTTATCAAATTAGTTATACTAATTCCCGATGAATGTTGTGGTCACAGTACAAATCCACGAACGCAAAGACTTTAACGTGCTTGAAATAAAGTTCATTTTTTTAATTGAATGACAGAATTAGTAATAATACAAATAAAACTGCACTCTTAAAAGTCTTATTGCCTTAAGTTACGGTCCATTTCAGTCTCTTGACTGTACAGATTTAGTGTGACTTTTACGTAAATTTTTACGTAGTTTTAATTATTTTTGGGATAAAAAATTACCTATATTAAAAATGATATGAATCGATTCAGTAAACGATTCTGTACAAACTACATTCTATATATATATATATATACCCCAAGATATTGTTAATTGCAATTTTAAGTGCTGATTTATCACGTGCTCGGCGGTGAAGGAAAACATCGTGAGGAGAAAGATGGAGGACGAAAACATGTTCAGTTGCATGTCTGAGGAATAAGAAAAAAAATATGTCGCCAACACGCATTGGGGCAGCGCGGCGGACACTTCCTTGCCTTAAAACCCTCTCAGAAATGAGGGGAGGCCTGTGCCCAGTAGTGGGACGTATATAGGCTGTAACTTTACTTTTCTATATATATATTGCCGCCCGTTAGTCTCGCTGAAAAACTCAAAAACGGCTCGACTGATTTTGATGAAGTTTTTTGTGTGTGTTGGGATGGTTTAGATTTACATTTGGACCCCGTAGGTGGTGCTGTTATCGAGATGAAGAAATATATATATATATATATATATATATATATATATATATATATATATATATATATAATCTATTGGCGGCAGTATAAGATTCAAGTAAGAGAAAGACCTTGAACTTATGACCTGATGGTAAGTGGATACTGTGGCCCCTAGATACCAACATCTATAATGATAGTTTTGGCGGAAATTTGACCGTCGACGGATTGTTGCTACTGTTTTATCGTTTAAATAATAGTTTGAAGTTGATACGTAAGTCATGCTAAATCGTGTATTAAGTGTCTTTCGAAAAATGGCGATGCAATGTCTGGTAGTTGCCCAGCGTTACGGTACGTTTACCGATACCAAAATCGATTTTGTCGGCCAATGGCGGACATAACTACCCGGACGAGTAACTCGTACATGTATGTGCTCACACTGCAACAGCGTTACCACTCGTGCCGACATTGGACGTTGCCAGTATTCTTTTCTATTTTTATATTTTCAATATCCATGGTTGTTTAGGTAGATAACAACACTAATAGAAACAACAAAATAAAGACAAAATGATAAAATTAAACTATAAATACACTCAATTTGCACTGTAGACGCCGGCAGTCGGGCGAGAAATCCCAACAAGTACGGACTCGACGGTTAATCGGCCGTTTTCGTGCGTTATCGAACGATAACGGTCGTGTTTGTGTAGGCACTCACTTTCTTTTACAAGTGTTTGATTCGATCGTCCGAGTTCGGCCGTCATCGCCCGAGCAAACTTCGGCCGATGACGGATTAGGTGTACGCGAAGCGTTACAATTATGACCGATCCTCCCTTCTCAGGGATGAGTTCATATCGAGCAATGACTTGTTTTCAGGTTAGTGAGGAGGAACATTTGATTTTTCATTACTTACCGAAGTCGTCTTCGTTCTTGTGACGTCAATACATTAGGCATACCACGCATCGCTAGTAAATGATTCACAGTCTGAGCTGGAAGGCGGCATGACGTGTTTTTGTCGTTCAATTGTTTCTGTAGAAGAAATTCGATAATACTATATCACCTACTGAAATATATTTTTATCTAATTTTTAAATAGTAATAATTAGATAAAATTATATTTCCTAAGCACTAGATAAATGCCAGATGTTTCCCCCACTTAATAATTTGAAAATTAGCGTTGAGCTACTACAATATGAATAGACTGTAATTGATCCTAATAAAAAAAATAAAAGTGGAAAAGGACAACGTTCGATACAATAGATGTCCAAGGTTGCCAGGTTAATTAAAAAAAGAGTTGAGATTTGAAATGACAACACCAATATGTTTTCAGTGAGATATCATTATTTTTGAACCAAGTTTATTAATCTAAATAAATACATGACCTTCAACGTTCTTTCTTGCCTTCACGCTTATTTTTATGAACTAAATATTGACAAAGTTATTGATTCGGTTATATTTAAGTGCAGTACTTGGAACTATAGTTCATAAAAGATAGCTTGATCTCTGCGACAGCTGTCAGTAAAAATCACGCCTATGAAGTCCTGAATTTCTTAGTAGTACAGACACACAGTACCTGTCAATGTCATACTTTATGGGCATGCCGACCTAATTAGTGCATGCCCATAAAGTATGACATTGACAGGTACAGTCTGTAGTACTAAGAAACTCAGGACTTCATAGGCGTGATTTTTACAGACAGCTGTCGCAGAGATCAAGCTATCTTTTATGAAACATAGACTTTGACACCGCCATGTGTCCAGATTTGATGACATTGCGCTTCGACAACTTGACTATAGCTTTGATATTAAACTTTCATGCAATTTCAATCTGACCCTGCATGTCTATGACGATATTAAGTTAAAAAATGTTAACTTAGTTAAGATGTGCTTAAGTTGCAGCGATGAAATGTGATAAATTCAATGTTAGAAGGACTTACATATTACGTAGGGGTAGGGGTAGTCATAATAAAATTAACCTTGATGAGTGACGCCAGTGCTCGATGTTGACTACGATCGTTGATGAGTTGTAATGCAGTGCTAGCTCTGGCAACATGGCGTCGCAATGCTGCTCTACGTAGAGCTAGCCTTGCACTTCGGGATTCCGCTGCGCTCTCCTCTACGCATACTGGCCCTGAACCCGATTCTAAATAACACAAAGCAGTTTATATATACTGACATTGATATTGTGAAACCTATGCTGTACTTAATTTAATGCTTTATCATAGTTAAAATTAGTAAGACCTTTATCCAGTACTGGACTTGTGATGGGCTGCAATAATAATGACAAAATACCTAAATTGTTACTTAGCAAGTAATAACTTAAAATACATAGTGACTTTGGTGCAGTGTAAAAACGATAACTGCACTTATCATGCATCAAAAATACTAGATATCAATAATGAAAAATAAAATTAATTTCATCTTATTACCAAATGAGGTTTATTGATAGTCCCAAGTTTAAAATATCCAAATTGTATGTATAAGTATATAAACAAACATTTATTTATTTATTTAATATTCTTCATTGCACACCAAACAAAATTTTTAGATAATATATACAAAAGAAGTATGCAATAGGCGGTCTATTGCTGATAACAATTTCTTTCAGACAACCAATGAATGGTCAGCATTACACATAGATGACAGGGGTAAGGCGGTTTTTTTTTGAAATTACATTTAGATACTAATTACATACTGATGAAACATAAATAATATTTTTTTATCCTATTGACATAATAGAAAAAACTGAACTGGTTATTTGAATAAAAAATCATGAGTGCAATTACTTTACATAGCCGATCGAAAGCGAAACGAAGAGATTCGCAATATGGCAGGATTGAAAGATGACCTTATCACAAAAATTGATAGGGGCGTACTCCAATGGTTTGGGCACGTTGAGCGAATGAGTGAAGACCAAATGGTGAAGAAAATATATAGAGCGAAAGTAAATATTAAAAGGTGTCGAGGTAGACCGAGACTAACTTTCGAAGACCATGTGAGCAAATTGCTCGAAGAGGGGAAGGTCAAGAGTACTCGGATACCTAGACGTGCATGTATGAAGAAGTTAATGAACCTGAAAGAAGCGAAAGAGGTTTGTAAGGATCGTGACACTTGGCGATCTGTTCTCTCTGGCTACCCCGTTAGGGATTGTGCGTGAAGATAAGTAAGTAAGTAAGCAATTACTTTATTCCAAATTTTCGTATTCTTAAAAAATACTAAAAAAAGGGCTCGAAATAATAGATTTTCTCACAAAAGAAGGGAACTTGAAAAAAAAAGGAAAAAAGTGGGACCGAAGACATGACGCGAACCAAGGCATTACGATTTCGCGACTGCTCACTATCCACTTGAGCTATTACGATCATTAACACAATGTCAAAATTTACCTTCTCATATTGTAGCAGTTTTTCATTGCCTGAAAACACGGACAAAAAGACATTTTCTAAAGATAAATCCTAGCTAGATCGATTTATTGCCTCCGAAACTCCCTGGACAATAAATTTTATGAAAATCGTTGGAGCCGTTTCCGAGATTCCGATTATATATATATATATATATATATATATATATATATATATATATATATATATATATATATATATATATATATATATATATACATACGTATATATATATATACGTATTTGTGCCAAATCGATTGAGAAAAACGGACAATGACCTCAGATATGAGCCGAGTGTCAAAAGGCGTAACTTACAAAATCTCAATTTAGATGTGATAACAATATTTAAATATTGATATTATTCACACTTCTAGGTCAGCACATATGTTTTGTTTTTTTGTTTCTTAAAATATTGTCTGTGGTTCCTATAAACATCGTAAAATCTTACGGTACATTGCGAGAAATGTGTTATATTTTATATTTCAATTTATGGTAAGTAACGCAGCAATTCATTTAATTACAGTTTCATATTAAAAAAAATATTTGAAGAAATATAATCACCATATTGAGCTTTTGCAAATTCATCCCTTTAAAATAAACAAAACGCGCGTTACGTCAGTTCGTTTTAAAAGAAACGTGACAATGGCAGCCAGAGATGCGTCACTTTTTTGGCCGGCCCGCATGCACCGAATAAAAATAAAGTTCTTATATAATATTGAAAATAAAGTTTTATCTTTTGAATAAGTACGTAATTATTCGGTGTCGTTATCACTCGAATCTTAATATGTGTTATAAATTAATGCTTTTTGTTGTTAAATGAATAAAGTACTTTATAACAAAAGATGATTTTTCGTCTACAGCGATCTTTTAGATTACTTTTTAATAATAGGTAATAAATATATATTATATCAATCATTATAAAAAAATCATTATAAATAAAGAAAGTACTACATATAAAAAGTGCGTATATATTGAAGGTTTGTAGCCCCTGGTTAAACAACCGAAGGGTCATTGTCCGTTTTTCTCAATCGATTTGGCACGTACTATAGCATAAAAGTGCACTAAGTAGACATAAATTTGAACTAGTACTGGCTGACTGGATGGTAAACATGCTCAGTACATGAACAATAAAGATTGCTAGTGAATCTCAAACAATTCAGATCAAGAAAGGCTGCCCGCAGGGTAGGGTTCTTCATTAATGAACTCATCAGTAAATAAAATTCCAATTATTTCTACACAGTAGGTTATGCAGATGACCTGACAATACTGGTCTCTGGAAAGACAGTAAGCATGGTGTGCGACCTGACCCAAGCGGCTCTCCGTACAGTAGAGATATGGTGCAGGGAATATGACCTAACCGTTAATCAAAATAAAACGGTTCTAATAATGTTCACACAAAAATGAATGCTGAATAACTATCATATCCCAAATATTTTCAGCACAAAACTCCAGCTATGCTCTGAGGTAAAATATTTGGGTCTTACCTTGGACAGTAAACTCAACTGGAATAAATGATAAAAAAGTTAATCACTCGAATCCAGATAATCTATTTGTAGCTGAAGACGGGACTCATATACAACAAATTGAGTCGCAGTGGAGAGCAGTCAAGAGGTTTTTCAGAAAACAAAATTATAACAATTCACATTACATTATTTCATTTACCGCTACCATAGCAGAGTTTAGGACCTGACTTTATAGATACGATTGGTCAAATCAGTTCTAAAATCGCATTAGCACGCCCCGACTTCACGTAGTCTTGTCTGCCCTACCCCTAGAGTGTTTTTGTAAAGCCGTAGGCGCGGAAGAAGAGCAGTCCCATCCCGCTGTAGCAAATCGCAGGCCCCTGAGTGAGCCGTAGCAGCCGAGGCTTCCTTCGCCTTCGGCGTCGGCGTCACCTTCGGTGACGACCAATAAGCCGAAGCTGCGAAGGCGAGTATGGGTGCCTGTGATTTGCTACGAAAGGGCGAAGGGGCTGCACTTTCCGCAGTGCCGATGCCCTTGCAGAAGTAACTTCGAGTCAATATTCCTGTATAAGTGAGGTTATGATTTAAAAAAAATATATTACTCATATACTATACATTTCCGCAAATAGACAAGGGGCTTCCACTGAACCCTTCCCCTCCCACTCCCACCACCGTACGTGAGTACCGGATGTCTATAGTTTAACCTAACATTCTGGCATTTCAGAAACATGATTAGCAAATGATTGGGTTCGACGCATTGAGCTATTATGTACTACGTACTAGAGGAGACACTGCATTCAGCTACTCTGTTCCACTTAACTGCGGTGCATGCACTGCACTTTAATCAGTCACTCGCTAGGCGCTTGTAGAGTTGTCACGTGTTGTGTTGATTTAAAAAAAATCTCTTGATAAAAATATGCCGTCTTGTGTACTTAGATATTGCACAAATAATTCAAGAAATGTCAGTAAAAACCAAGGAATTACTTTTCATCGGTTAATAAGATACTTATTCAATAAAAAAAGTATTATAAATTAATAATAAAGCAAATTATTCCTAAGACGCCATCTCGTATCATTGAATATAGATTATGAAATTAATATGTTCAGATGCGACATTTCTGTGGGTACTTAAGTTTAGGACGAATATATTATTATACTACACATTTTTTTTGTAGAAACATATAAGTTATTATAATTAAGCTAAATTTTTCATGTTTAAATCTGCTTATTATTCTTTTATTTTATTTTTAGGTTTCCACTTCAAAGTCAAAGTGGAATAAATTCGTCCATTTTTAACTCTCGCGTGCCCAGCATTTATGAACGATTATTTACAACATTTATGATTCTAATTTAAATAAATATATTTGTAATTTAAATTTTATGTTAATAAGTTTTGTTAAACATACATTTAGCACGTTTTTTTATATTTGACATAGATACCTTTTAAAATATTCAGATAACAATATCATCAAAATGTAATTCTGACATAATATTATGTAATATTATATTAAATTAGCACATATACAAAATAAAAAACAATTTAAAAAATTGTAAGTACTCGATATAATTAACAATACAATATAAATAAACAATTATTACATACTGACCATTCTACTTACGTATAATCTATAATAACAAAAACTGACCGCGCAAGCGCAAAGCGCGTTTATACCAACTGCGCATGCGCGACTCTACTATTACCGCGCATGCGCGAAGACATAGAAGTAGCGCACAATTTTTGTTTGGAATAGCTTCTCTAGTACGTAGTACATTATAACTCAATGGTTCGACGCCAAAAATTGTAACAAAACCGTAATTCGGCTCATGATCATATACGGCACTCTGGTATGGTGGACAAAAACTAATGAAGCCACCACTATAAAAAGCTTCAGCATTACCAGAGATTGACATGTATGGCTGCCACAGGCTGCATAAGAACTATACTAACAGCAGCTTTAGAGGCTATACCGGAGCTAGCCCCGCTTCATTTACACCACAGAAATCTAAATAATAAGGCACTAGAAATTCCTTCTACTGTCTTTTAATACCGCGACGCGTGTCGCCAAGTCGTAGCTTATCACACATAGACAAACAATAAATACACAATTACGCCTACAAATATCTCTAGCATTCATGCAACAAAGATTAATCTATAAACTATTGCGTTAAAGAATATTTTATAAAACGCAAAATCTCAGGAGTCGTAGCCACTCGGTCCAATAATTAAAGTGTGCGAAAAACAGAGAATGACATTACGCGCTCGCTCTCACTTGGGCATAGTGAAACGCAACGCACGTTTCGATAACTTTCTATTAAGCGTCGTTGATCTTCCAGGAGTCTCACACCAAGATATAACTAATTAACTGAAATTGTCTCAGTAATAGACGCTTTTAATCTTAGCTTTAGCTTTTAGACGTTTTATAATTAGAAAAAAGGGATATAATAATACGTTGAGAATAAATATATCTTTTGGAAACTTGTAATAAAAGCATTGTATTAAATAAACAGAAATATAAATAAAATGAATACAACATTATACAAATAGCATACGAATAAATATGTGTATGGGTGACATATTTATCATTTTTTATTAGTTTTAAAGATCTGTAACTGACTTTCTGTTTGCTAATTTTCAGTTTCCCGGCTTCTAACAGATCGAATTACGACTACTATCCTTACAATGTAACTGATTAAAAATTTATCAAGTAATTTAAAAGTACAAACAGTAAAAGTAAAAATTTAAAAGTATAAAATATTTAGAAAGAAAAAAAAAGTTGAAAGGTGTAAATAAATATTTAACGAAAAATCATATTCAATTCCCGTTTCGTTAAAACTAGGTAAGCCAAATATAATAAATTATCGATACAAAATAGTTGTGTCATGTAACTGACTTGCATTCGACTCCAGCGGCCGTGTTCTAGGAAATCTACGTACGCAACAATTTTGTTTATTGCCCATACTATAAATCCATCGCTAATTTTAGCTGTCATACTCGTAGACATAAACTAGCTTAAGAATCAATGGATATTGAAATGTAAAAAGAATTACAATTTCAGAGACATTCATAGTACTGGAGGTGGATAATTTTATTTAAGTATATTTCATTAAACACAACATTATTTAATACACTAAGTACTTATTTACGAAATGTTATCCCTTTATTTGAAAATTTGCAAGTTGTGGAGGAATTTCCCGCAGTTGGATATGCTTCAAAACACCACTTTTACGTCTCTGCGTCCGAAACAAACGCTTCTCGCGCGCTTGTGGCCTACGAGTCACATGTGCGGCGACAAGGTCACGCGCTTTTACGACTTCTATTTATATTTAGATTTCTATGATTTACACATACAACAAGAAGCAACTTTAGCTGCCATTACACTCAAGACCCTAAATCTTTTGAGTAAGAGAAGTCCCTGGTATAATTGATGAAATTTACTCAAAAATTCCTATCTTACAAGCCAAGTACGATAAGAATCCAAAATAATTTGCATTCGATAAGAAGTATAAGATACAATTACATAAAACCGACCAGCCAGAGGGATTAAACCCTATGATGCGCCTAGTTTTCATGGATGGTTCTAAGCCAAATGAAGGTGTAGGATCTGGAACTTTCTCTGAAGACCTTAATATCCACATATGTACACCGCTAGGTACTCATAACATAAGGCGGAATGTATGGGTATCATCCAAGCGGCCATTGCAATAGATGCTAGGAAAGTAAAAGACTTATCCATCAGAATACTAACCGACAGTATGGAGGTACTACAAGCTCTGACTTGTAATGTGGTGAACTCGGGACTAATATATGAATGCCATCAACAATTAAATGAGGTATGTAAGCACAACAATGTGACTTTGCAATAAATTAAGGAATATAGTAAATCCAGAGGCAATGATACAGCAGACGAATTGGCCAGAAGAGGATCGGCTCTGACCACTATGGGGCCAATAATACCAATCCCCTTTAGTTACATTAGTTTACTGGTGCATAGAAATTTCACTAATATACACGCTCAGCTTTGGAAATAAATATTTCATTTCAAAATATTTCATTTCATTTCAATAAAAAAAAGAAAAATGACTGTATACAAACTAGGAAGGCCCTGATTGAAATAAACAGTCGTCTAACCAAGATTCTAATGAGACTGAACAAGCCACAGATCAGTAACAAGTGCTATCACAGGACATGGCTTTTTTAACAAACATTTATTTACCATTTTGTGTTACAGATAGCCCACTGTACATGCCCTGGCATGTATGGGGGAAGAAGAAATGGCGGCTCCCGTGTTGCTGACATGTCCAGAGGTCGCTGCATTCAGGGCTAAATATCTCGGCACACCGGGATCGCTACCCGAAGTTGCTTGCAACATCAGTGGACTGTTGAACTTCTTCGGGGAGATTTCAATAATAACATTAAAAATAATAACATTATTACCCACAAAACACACACAAAATACGCCCTTAGACGTGGAGTTGCGGAAAACAGCCTGTTGTAAAATAAACTAAACTAGAAAAGTGATGGTCACTGTTTGGTGGTCTATCGCTGGTGTGATTCACCACTGCTTCTTACAGTTAACTTATTTTATAAAAACGGCAATTATATAGGTAAAGATCTTATATTTATTATATTATTTAACATTTTTTCAAGTATGTGCAAAACCAATGTGCATTTACCCTATTATAACACTATAGATCTTTTTTAATAAATAAGTCTTTTTAAATAATAACATTTTGGATGGACAGATGTAGCATAACATAAAATATTTAGTTCACTAAAATACAAAAGTCAGCCCTCATTGATTCAAATCTTTTATTTAGTGTAAATTTGGGATGTAAATATGAATATAAGAATTTTTCTTCAAATGTCAAGCTCACCTGCACTTGGCATGTCTATCAAATTAAGATTTTGCTGACTAATAATGGAACATCATTACTAGTACAATACTAATATGGTGTCCAGTCAATAATCTGCCTGCTCAGCTTTTTGAGTATACAGACAGCATTTTGAACAAAGACATGCATGCTAGAACATTCTAATAAACCTATGTCCAGCAATGTAATTAAAAATGTTGACAAAAATGATTATGGCTTAGGAGATATCTTACCAAAATCTGGCATATTGTCATCATCACTACTACTGCTCTCTATTTGTCTAAACGCATTAGCCTTTTTCTCATCTAGTGGACCACATTGGAATAAATCTTCACCAGGTGCATGCCATGACGTATTTGAAAGTGCAATTACTCTATGTTGGAGAGATATCCGTTGCAAGGCTTCATGTATAGTGGGTCCACGTCCACGTTTTGTTTTTGCTTGAAGTGTCTTAACTGAAAAAATTAAAGTGTTTTATTGTTTCATAACAGAACAATATTTGGTTGTTGAAAACTATATAAACTTAATTACTTTTCTGAATGTGAAAAAAAACCACAATTAGTTAAACAATTAAAATGTTCATATATAACTCACGAGGCAATGAAATGGTTTAAACATTATTTCTACTTCCCTCATCTTGGATTGGATGATGGATTTAAGCACCAATTTACCAATGTATTATTTATTATTATGTTTCATTACATTGAAAATTATTTCTGAACAATATAATTGCTGTTCTCAATTACTGTGAACAATGTAATAAAAATAACTTAGGTGGAAAAGGGAGGCAGGCCTGGTAGTAGAAAACACTAATTTGATTGTGTTATTTGTATATAATTTAACAATAGGCTTCTTCATGTTGACATGTCTACAGATTTAATGCCATTACAAAAACCAGAAGAAGCAACCTTACACACAAGATTTTTATCTATGATCATTATATGAGCAGTTGGTATTTTTTAGGAACTGTTAGTATTTTAATTGTGTATATAGATCATATATAAGTGTGGTCTCAACTAAGAAAAGGAGTCTTTTAAATTACATTGCAAATATGAACGATATTTATGGAGAGCAAATACTTAGTTGTGAATTAAGTAAAGATTGCTTCATTCTTATAATAAAAATTAAGCAATACAATTTAGTAAATTCAATCAAAATTCAAAAAATTAACTAGTTTGTTAATTGACTGCCTTGTTGGTGTAGTAGTTGTAAGCACGACTGCTGATCATGTAGTCCCAGGTTCAAACCCAAAGACAAGGAATCCCCAGGAACAGCCCGGAGTTCAGGAAGGAAAAAAGGAGGAATTGTTCAAATTAATCCAAGCCGCCAAATTTCGTGAACGCACCACGCGGCAAACGTACCTATACCATCAACACCATCTGGATGCTTGGCGGTCCACCACTGTATGTTTCACAAGGAGTTTTCTTCCGCGTACAACCTCTCTGTGGAATATTTTACCACCGGCTATTTTTCCGGACCAATACAACCTGGGGACCTTCAAGAAAAGAGCTTACTCCTTTCTAAAGGGCCGGCAACGCACCTCCAATACCCTTGGTGTTGCGGTTGATCATGAGCGGCGGTAGTCACTTAACATCAGGTGAGCCGCATGCTCGTTTGCCCCTCTTCTATGAAAAAAAAAGTTGGCAGTGTTTCACCCCCAAGTTTAAAAGAGCACAGAAAGCCTTTGGTCCTGCGTCCCATCTCCCTATGGTCTTATCAGATTACTGTCCTATTAACCCATTGACTCGGCTACCGATCTAATCAGATCATACAATACCTACCTTACGTCGGCTCTGGTACGGGTCGAATTAGATCAGGTCGGATCAGAAGTACTGCCTTATGAAAAAACTATTTTTTCCTTTAAAACAAAACCAAAGACAATATGCAATAGATAATAGTATCAAAGACAAAGATATGCTCTTTTATTTTAAACCATAACCTGGCAATGTTTCTTAGAAAAAAAAAAAGAAATCACTCTGAACTTTCGGCGTTCCACGTGTCGTTTTGATGAAGGTGCTCCGTCTTTTTTATAGAATTTTATATTTGTGTCTGGACTAAAAACGAAAGTATTATACTTTTTTATATTCCTTGTAATATAGTGAACACGTAGATATATAATTTGTGGTATAAAAAGTGAAAAGTAAATTGCCAAAAGTACTTCAAAATCTGGAAGACCCATTTTGGCGGTTGGGTCATAAATGTGTTATTTTTCAAATTCTCATTTATTTTTAGTGTAAAATGTAAGTAAAAATAGTTTTCTTACATATTTCAAATAACTTGACGTTGTATTTATTTCAAATTCACACATAATTATTTTTGAAATATTGTTCTAAATGTCACAGATAAAATATTATTATTGTTTTTTTTTTAAATTTTTAATATTTTAATATTTTGGTATGAGTAACGAATGGACACATATAAAACATAAAAATATACATATTTCCAAACATTTTCATATAAATTTCTCCAAAAACAAAAGTGTAGAATACAAATTAGTAGTAATTTTGTCACTAAAATTGAAGTATATGCTACTACTATGCTATACAGGGTAATTTATGTATTTTATTACAATTTCTAGCAACCAAAAATAATTTTATTCGATAGTTTATACATTCAACAAGAAATCCTGTAAGTTTTATCCATAAATATTGTCTCAAAGTGAAAATATAGCAAAATTTGCAATATAGCAAAAAATTTTCTAACTTACAAATTTTCCCGCCATTAAGGTCCCGAGCGAACGGGAGTATAACATGTCGCGCGCTGTCAGAGCCTTGGGGTTAAAATATGAAAAACAGGGAATTGAATGTGCACCTGTGTTTGCACATAAACTAGTAAACTTTAATTCTTCTAGTCTCTGTTGAGACCAGCCTCCGTAATGGAAAGTTCTAGACCAACTTTAGGACATTATTTTTATGATACTTAGTGAAGCATCCACATATTTAGCACAAACTATTTGAAAAGTTCTTTCTTAAAATTGGTGCACAGGAGAACAGCATTAATACATCATTGTCACTTCATTGAATTAGCAAAATGTTATATGAAATTAAAAAAATATAATATAAAAACCATAGAATACTATAACACATACATAATAGAACGGGGGAGTGGACGGAGCCTGTGTAGCCACTAAAATTTCACTAACACGTCAATTCACATGTATTAATGTCAACACGAGATGTCTTTTGATGTTACAATTGTTTCCTAATGCGTGAATTTATACGTGGTAGAGCCATGCTGCAGTTATATTAGTAGTATAGTTGTAGCATGAATGGGTCGGCTCGACCGGGGAAGGACCACGCTCTCACAGAATACCAGCGTGAAATAGTAGCTTAATGCTGCTGTATTTCGTATGGTGAGTGTAGAGAACCGGAGACCCTTTTTACTGGAAACGAGGCATTCCATCTTAGTCCTCACGGGTGACAACGCATCTGCATTTTGATTCGTAGAGGATAGATGTAGATGCCTATGGGCCACAGCAACCACTTACCATCAGGTGGACTGTGTGCTCGTTTGTCACCCTATCCTATAAAAAAAAAAAAATGCAAATTATTTAGAAAATGCCAAATTGCACTCTATTTACAAATAAATATGTATACCCGGTTGACCAAGCTTTGCTCGGTATTTTTCTCTCGTTTTTTTTTTAATTCGTGTGTTTTGGAAATTATATTTAGATACAAATTACAAACTGATGAAATAAGAATAATAGTTTTTGATCTTAGCGACATAATAAAAAAAACTGAACTGGTTATTTGAATAAAAAATCATGAGTGCAATTAGTTTAATTTAAATTTTCGTGTTTTTAAAAAATACTAAAAAAAGGGCTCGAAAAAATAGATTTTCTCAAAAAAGAAAGGAACTTGAAAAAAAAGTCAGTCGGTCGGTCTGGGCTCGAACCATTGTATTACAATTTTGTGACCGCCCAATATACCAATTAAGCTATTTGTAATCATTAATAAACTGTCAAAATTTACCTTCTTATTTTAACAATATTGTAGCAGTTTTTCATTGCCTAAAAACACGGACAAAAAGACATTTTCTGAAAATAAATCCTAGCTAGATCGATTTATTGCCCCCGAAACTCCCTGCACACAAAATTTTATGAAAATTATTGGAACCATTTCTGAGATTCCAATTATATATATACAAGAATTGCTTGTTTAAAGGTATAGGATTAAAATCTGTCTGTCAACACAGCGAATCAGGTTCGTAGTAGTGATAATACGACGTTATTGCTTGTATTGTGCTCCCGCCGATGCCAAATCTCGTACAAAATAAGGTTGACAGCCATTCTATTGTGTATTATAGTATTCTATGATAAAAACACATATACTAATTTTTAGACATTGAAATATATTTTTTAAAGGAAAGCTTGATTTACCTGTTGTTTGTTTTTTGTTAATTGGTGTCGGAACTTTAATGGGTGATGTTACTGAAGGTTCAGTTTTGATTCCCACTGCTTGACCTTCTATAACACCTTGCTCTCTTTTAAAAACATCAAGAAAAGTTTCCGGGCCTGTTGATTTTGCATTTGATGTAGACTTAACATTGCTTGAATTAACACTATTAATACTGACATTGACACTGTGCGATGGGTCAACTACATTATTCTGAACTTTCAAACTGTTAACACTTGGTCGACGATTTTCCGTAACATTTGTTCTACTTAGTTCTTTTGTAACATGATTTTGACTCTTAGTATTCTGGACTTTGGCATTAGTATTCTTATCTGTATCTGTGTTTAGATAAGTTTTAGTAGTTGAAAAATAATGACCATTGTTTATGACTTCCTTTTTTGGCTCATCGATTTCTTCTTTAATATCTCCATTTGTTAGTGCACCTATTAGGTCTAACTCTTTATTAGGACTATCAAGAAGTTTAGTTTTAACATCTACACTATCTGAGAAGATGAAATTATCTTCAGTGTGGCTGACTGTTATTTCACTAGCAATAACATCGGAATCATGAAATGTGTAAAGATCGTTGGGATCAATCTTAAATTTACTATGAAAGAAATTATCATTTAAATGTGGTATGTATGTTTGTTCATCTCCTGAACTGTCATGTATGAACATATTTACTTCACTATTACAGTTTCCTGACACCCCTTCCACTGCCATTTTGTATTGAGATGCACAGGTTGCATCTGATATATTTTGGGGAATACTACTGAAACTAAAATGTAAATGAAAGAAAATGTTGTAGTTCACATATTCATTAGTTAGTCTTTAAAAAGATTTTAAAGTCAATAAAACACTTACCCCACATTTTCTGATGTACTCAAATAAGACATGCTGTGTTCATTTTACAACTTGAGCTTAAAAATGATGGTTACAAGGAAAATACTACTGAAATTGTTTGGTCCCAGTGCTTCATCCTAAAATATGAACTAAAGTAAGATTTAGTTGTTTTTAAAAACAAAATACATGTTAGTAAATTTGTAATTCAAGTGCAGTGACAATTTAATCTGACATCTGTCAATGGTAGTGTATTTATTATTCCCAAAAAAAAAAACAATAAAAACTGAGAAATAATGTCTGTATTATTGTTAAATTAATCTTAAAAGGATTAAATTAAACCACCAAAATAAACTAAAAGATGCCATACAAGAGGATAAATTCTATAATTAAGAAATAGATTTCTCACATTCTAATTAAGACTATTTACTGAATATTTTGTGCTGAATATGCAAAAACCTTATTCATTAATACCAGTCTATACTAATGTAATGTATTTTAACTGAATACGCTCGAAAATAAAGATTTAATTTATCAAACTGTTCAATAACATCAAAGATTGACAGAAACAGAATACAGCAAATGGCAGCCACAGATAAACCATAAACCAGTAGCAAACTAATTACACAGCCTTATCGCGATGCGTTCAAAATTACTGAAAAGTACTGTTTTTTATTAATCATCATTACCCTAGGTTTGCACCTAAAAACATCCTACACGTAATGTTTTGAAACAAATTGCACAAAATGAATCACACAATATGTATTGTTTATGTTCGCATTCGCACTCACAAAAACTGTGTAAAATATTTAACAGATGTTAAGATTTGTTGTTATCTGTGTTCGCATCGAATACAACATAGATATAGTTACGCATCCCGGTATTCCCGGAACTGCACCGGAGACCATAACAATTCAAGTGTAAGCGTGGGCGTAGATTGCTAAATTGCGTCTGGAAGACTAGTGGTCTTCGTGTGAACACCGATAATTGTTCTTTAGCTTAAAGATCTAGAATAACAATTAGGAATAGTCTTAGTTAGACTCCCACATGTATCGGACATGTAGCTTTAAGTTAGAATCCATCGCGGATTATTTATGTAGTATATAAACTATTTTTAAAAACGTCCTGAGTCAATTTCGAATCTTGACTATAGTCTATTGTTTATTTATAGATCAACGTTACTATCGACTGTCAACGTTAGCGTTCGCACTGTTGTTTTTTATATTTCGCGATTTGTTTAAATGTCGTATTTTCTTTGTTATCCAATTTAGTTGCTAAACATCATGAAACATTATTACCCCTAGAGGAGAACAACGATAACTTTATATAAAATAATATAAATGTGATATATTTCCACTGACTCCATTTATAGCCAGATTACTTGCAATTATCTCGTAAGGCAAAAAAATTTAGTCCTTTTTTTGGGGGGTTTTATTCGGAATATTTTTTTGGGTTGCCTGTCTCAGAGCTCGAGACAAAAGAACATAATAAAATATAAATTTCTATTTATTTATTCAATTCACTGACCTCTATATACACAAGTACGCTGGACTGGCTATAACCATACAAAATGTTTGTGCCAATTTGAAGTTCCACAATTTGTCGTCTTGGGAACTAAAATTGATACAATATGCCAAAGTCTTATTTAGTAATTTTATACTATCGCGGTCCCCTCGTTTTTTGGCTCTAGAAAATCAAAAAATCATCCGATTTCGAAGTTTGTTTTAATCTTCGTTTTTATGGCGGATTTATAAAAAAATATGGAAAATCTCACCTAAAGATTTCATATAGTTTTATGACTTTATATGTGACCATAAACGCATTTCTTCAAATATAATCGTACATAACTTTTTTGCAAAGCATTAAACGAAGTTTGTATTTTTTACAAAAAACGAACATTTAAAAAAACATTGAAAAATGTTTGTTTATTAATTTTTTATCTTACTTAAAGTTTTATATGGTTTTATGACTTTAAATGTTATCATAAACGCTAAAGAAAATAGAAATAATTATAAAAGTTAATATTTTGGTGTTTTATTGAGGGTACGATGGAGCGAAGCGAGCTCGGGACTTAGGGCATCCCAACTCGGGCAGGTTAGTCGTTCGCTTTGCTCGCTCACTCGACATCGCCATCTCCTTCGTGGTTATTATTTTATAAACCACTCAGAAGTAGAAGCCCCTAGTAGGATTCTCGAGTCCCAAGCCTCGTACCGGCAGGTGAAGTGTAGGACGTCCCCCACTAGATGGAGTGACAATCTGGTAAGACATGCAGGAAGTTGATGGATGCAGGTTGCTCAGGACCGTGCTTTGTGGCATTCTTTGGAGGAGGCCTATGTTCACAATCAGCAGTGCACTTGTGAAGTGTTTTAATGATGATGAATAATAATGGCATTATATACGTGGTAGAGCCATGCTGCAGTTATATTAGTAGTATAGTTGTAGCACAAATGCGTTGGCTCGACCGGGGAAGGACCACGCTCTCACGGAATACCAGCGTCAAATAGTAGCTTAATGCAGCTGTGTTTCGTATGGTGAGTGTAGAGAACTGGAGACCATTTTTACTGGCAACGATCCATTCCATCTTAGTCCTCACGGGTGACAACGCATCTGCATTTTGATTCGTAATCGAGGACAGATGTAGATGTCTAGTTTCTGGATGTAAACGCTGTTAGTCTATGCGACTTTTACAGCTTTATCTGACTCAGGCTCGCGGCCTACAAGGCCGCAAACTAGTAGATGTCTATGGACCACAGCAACCACTTACCACCGGGTTGATTGTGTGCTCGTTTGTCATCCTATTCTATAAAAAATTAATAATATGATACATAAGCAGAATGGACGTTACGAGTAAAGGCCACATATCCATAGAGTCCATTCTATTTATATAGGTATGAGAAGGATATCGAGTTTTTATCGATATATTTTGTCACATTGTCTTTTTTCCCTATTATTACTTCCGTGGGCGTTCACTTGTGCAGTTAGCGCCAAAATGATACAAATCAAATCGTCTCATCACGTCACGATGTATAGCCAGTCCAGCAAACTTTTATATATAGATGTTTCAATTTAAATTAAAATGCATAACTTAAAAAGAACTTTACAAAACTGTTTACCAAATATTGTAGTTTGTCACTGTCATCTTAATAATGTGTTTTAAGTGACAAGAAAATTTCCTTCCACAGCAAGTTATACTCATTAATAATATCTATGAGAAAGACCTTTTTTACTGGAAATGAGGCACTCCATCTTAGTCCTCACGGGTGATAACGCATCTGCATTTTTATTCGTAATCGATTACGAATAAAAGACGTGTAGGTGTCTACGGGCCACCGCAACCACTTACCATCAGGTGAACTGTGTGCTCATTTGTCACCCTATCCTATAAAAAAAAGAAATATGAAAGCATATACCACCTTTCTCTCATAATTTTACAAAGCTTGGCAAAGTTTAGGCTTATTCCAATAATCTGTTTCCGTGGAAAGCTATACAGGCTTATTTTATTTATTTATTTATTTTATTCTTTATTGCACCAAAGATTTTGTACAAAAGGCGAGCTTAATGCTATATGGCATTCAGAGACAAGACAGAACAGAGAGTGAGTTATGGGCAGTAAAGATGTCATGATCTCATTCAATTCAAAATGTACATGCTACACATACATACAATATATATATATATATATATATATATATATATATATATATATACATATATATTATATACACTTACACACACATACATATGTATATACATATATATATATATACACATATACATATATAAATATATATCTCCATAAATTTATATACAAATAACTATAAACATATAAAGTAAGTGGACTCAAATTTGTTGGTTACGGATATATTCATATAGTTTTCTTTTAAACACGTTTTTAGCAGGTATTATGCGCAGGTCAACAGGCAATTTGTTCCAGAGGGAGATGGAAGTTAATGTGAAAGAATTTGACATAAATCCAGAATGGTAGAGAGGAGTAGACAGTAATAAATTGTGTGAAGACCGGAGATTGAGAGAATGAGTGTCACTACGGAATTGGAATCTTTCTTTTAGGTAAAGGGGTGAGGAAGAATCATTAAGAACTGAAAACAGAGAGGACAGCATTCGAAAATCTCTGCGCTGGCGTATAGTCAACCACTTTAATTGGGAGCGAAATTCTGATACGTGATCGAATTTGCGCAGACCAAAGATGAATCGTATGCAGTTGTTAAGTAACCTGTCCAACCTGCTTAGCAGCTCCTGAGAGATATTAGAAAGTCAAACATCGGCATAGTCAAATAATGGAAGAATTAGAGATTGGATGAGTAGAAGCTTAGTTGAAGGAGGCAGAAAGAACTTAAGACGATAGATGGAACGAAGTATGCCTGTGACTTTACGACAAATCTCGGACACCTGTAACCTCCAACTAAGGGTCGGGTCAATAATTAAACTCAGATCCTTGACACTAGTGCGGAAAGGAATTACACAGTTTTCATAGCAAATGGATGGTATGTTAAGTTGTGACACCAATCGACGACTGCCAATGATAATAGCCTGGCATTTACTGGGATTTACCGTTATACCAAATCGCTGTGACCAGTCTGAAATGCGTTGTAAGTCCTGATTAACAGCTGCAATAGCGGTAGCAATTTCAACCGAGGACGCTTGTGAGTATAACTGAAGATCGTCAGCATATAGGTGGTAAGAACATTGAAGGTGGGTAGTTAGAAGATTGATAAACGACGAAAACAAGAGAGGAGAGAGAATGCCGCCTTGCGGTGCACCTAGATATAGATCGCACCAGTCGGAAAAATCCTGACCAGCCCGAACAGCCTGCTGGCGACCACGAAGATAAGAGGAAAACCAGTTCAGTACTGACGGGGAGAAGTTTAGGCGTGAAAGTAATCCAAGGAGTAAGTCGTGATCGACACAATTAAATGCGTTTGAAAAGTCAATAAGGACCAGAACAGTCAAACATGACCTCTCCATGCCCTCTCTAAAATCTTCTGTAACTTGATGTAAAGCTGTGGTGGTACTATGTCCCGGGCGGAAGCCAGATTGA